CCCCAAAACCCCAAAACCCCAAAACCCCATAGATTGAAATATTAAGTATTTTAGGAAGAAGGAGCTGGAGTTGTAATTAAATGAAAATTGTTAAGAATTATTGTAACTTAGAGTAGATTTTCAACTTAAGACGCGATATTCGTCAATACCAGTCATTGGATAATAAACTGTTACCAATTCGGTGTAGAACTTGACTACCTTGTCATATTACCCGAAGAATCCTAGAATGCCCAAGTAAATATAGGCTGGTATTGAGAGATGGAAGAAGGGACTGATTATTGGAATCCAGAATAACTCAGGGAAGTAAGATAGATGCCTCATATTGTTGTGTAACCATTTTGGAGTTAAGTATTTGAACTCAATACATTATGTTGAGCTTATCATACAGATAAGCAACATTGCGAGCATTAACTTTTTCATTTTATTACTTTACCTAATTATTATTAATATATAAATAAATTCCTAATCTAATACATTTCTAATTTTATACTCTTAATTCTAATTAACTTTAGATGATCATCTATTTACACTCTCTCACTTCAACATTCATAACTATTTAATAGCTTGCTATATTCTTGCTACTAAATGTTTAGTCAACTCTTCACTATTTTCGTAGTCTATGTTATCATTTGCCTTTACACTAGTATCTACCTGAACAAAGCTATTCTTCTTTTTGCTATAAACTAAAAATGACGGAGTCTTTTCAATGTCCTTCAAAAAGCCAACTTCATTCAAAGCATTCATTTTAACTAATTATTGGGAAGATTTGGATTCTGATTCTAATTTAGATTTGAGATTTGACATAATTGAGTCAACCTTTTTGCATCCAGGACAATTATTTGCATATACCTCGATGATACTGACTTCTTTTTAGTTCAGTTATTATTTATAGTTTTCTCTGTTAAGCTTTGGCACTATATCTAATTCTGTTTATTTACTTTAATCAGATTCCAAATGTGGTGTTTATTACTGAGACATGCATTTCTTAATACTATCATAACTTAAATCATCCCCTAAATCATATTTAAGTGTGTATAAATGCATGTAATCTTTTTCACACTTAGCTCTTAACTTTTCATCATTAGAAATATCCTCTAAACGAAGAACTGTTTTTTCTTAGTCATGGTATAAGTAGTTGTATCTAATAAGCCTCTTACATTTATCTTCAGATGCCAGCATGCCAAAATAAGTATGAGCATCCTTTACATCAGTCAGTAAGATAGGTATACTTATTTAATTTCCAGATTGATGAATGTTATCAGCTATTTCAAGTAGTTTTGACTAGACATCATTCACTAAAATTACATCCTATCGTCTATTTTGAAAGTGATTTTTGTAGAATTTAAGCATTTAACTTGTATTGACAAGTATTACGTTGTTTTATGCTCTGTTAATTAGGACATCTTCTATAAATTAAGTTAATCTACCGAATGTGTCATCAATATTTTCTTCCGACATTAAAAATGACTCGAATTCTCTTTTATCCATCTCAGACAAATACTTTTAATATTTCCTCTCAAATTCAGAGATGTCTAGATGTTGGCACTTTACCTTTTCCAATTCTAATCCCATAAATTTAACTTATTCCGCCTCAGTAATTTTTGAGTAAGGGTTTTTATTTTAGAATATGTAGATTTCATTAGGAGATTATATACCGAATCTATGGGCAACACGATTACTAGTGATTTCAATAAATTTAACCTCATTTTCAAGGAAACTGCTGTTCTCATAGAAGAACTTTCTATAGAGCTTCTATTGAACCGTCATGTCTCTTGGGGTAGACCATTGCTTAGTATTTAGCATGATCACATACTTGACATTAGATCCTTTATTAGCTTCCAATGCTTCAAATAAATCATCAATATTATCTATTGCAGTAGGATTCATTATAAATTTAAATCCTATTGCTTAACTTGTGGCGTCTCTTTTATATACTGGCATCTTCATTCTATCCTCATTAACTAATACATGCGCCACCTCTTCAAATTCTTCTTTTCCTGATACATTCAAGACCTTATTCAATATGGCCATATCTTTATCGTCCTTTATATAATCTGAGAGATAGAGTCTATAGCCATAGACAGGCTGAGTCTTTTTTCTAGCTAACCTCTTTAGCATATAATATTGAGGATCGAAATCACTCTAAGTATTAGATATTTCTGTGTCCACATCATTTATTAGCTAAATAAAGAAGTTTCTATTCTTACCAAAGAAGGATTAAAGCTGTAAATCACTAGGTTTGATCTTGGGAGCCTTATAGAACTCTGAGCTAGCTTGCATTCCCAATAGTGCTAGCTTTCTTGACTATTATTCATCCTCTTTACCCAATTATTTGGCCTTAGGGATATCACTAACATTATCAATCACATACCTTTCTATCAGCCAGCGAGTGGCTTTACCAGAAAAGAAAATTATGAATGCAAGTATAAATAAATTCATTGCTACAGCTCTGAGTCTTGGGTCTTTGTAAAATATATATCGGCTGCTTTGCAAGGCATTAGAAGTATGCTGTTATTGCTATTACTTTTAATTTGTGCTTGCACTTTATTTAGGATCCTAAGAGAAATTTCTTGCTGATGCTTATTAGATAATGACTGGTATCTACATTTTATTTAGAGTATAGATCTATTATCTCAGTATTTGATGATGATATGCTGGAGCTAGGAATAGCAATCTTTTGTTCATGTTTTATAATTGCCACATATTTTATTGTTATAATTGCTTAATTTTTATTCAATCCAAATCAATGGGGTTTTGGGGTTTTGGGGTTTTGGGG